GCACATCCCCAGTAGGAGGTGTGCAGGAGGCAGATAGATGTTTCTCTCTCATCGATGTTTCTAATTCTCTATCTCGCTCCCTTCCTCTCTGTAAAAAATCAATAAAATATATTAAAAAAAGAAAGTATTACTGTTATTACTACTATTATTATTAATAATAATCAACAAAAAGGTAGAGCTCAATCATCATATTTTAAAACTTTGGAACTCGTGTTTCCATGTGTGAATAAAGACTGTAATAGTAAAATTTCCCTTTGATTTAGGCCAGCAAAGGGATTCTCAGTAAGGCCCAGGACAAGCAAGCTAGGAGAGAATGAATGCTGGAAAGAATAAACACTGGAAGGAACAGTGTTTAGGTAGTGGTGACCTCTACTTACCCGCTGTCTTTCCAGGACCACAGACTGTGGTAGGGAATCATAATTGCCCTCTTGATAGGCAAATGTTTCCAGATCATCTAGTTGGGTTTTGAGCTGCAGTATCAGTTCCTTCTGCTTCTCCCTTTGGGTTTCCAGACGTTCTCGTTTCTCCTGCTCACTCTAAGATGAGAAAATACTTAGGTTTATTTCATAGGAAAAGGAAAATTCAGGGCACATCAAGAATCCTCTCAAGCCAATAATGACTAGCAAAATATAAGACATTTCCAAATAATCCAGATGAAATACAGAATTTGTAAGATAGGCTCAAAAATAAGAATAATTATTTCATACAGGGAAATTTATTAAATGTGTTTTCTTTAGGAAAATATTTGTCTCTCATTGGAAATAGGATAAGAATACAATGGGGCCTTTTGTTAAGATTGCTTTTTAAAAAAAAATATATTTTACTGATTTTTTTACAGAGAGGAAGGGAGAAACATAGAGAGAGAAACATCTATCAGCTGCCTCTTGCACACCTCCTACTGGGGATGTGCCCGCAACCAAGGTACATGCCCTTGACCGGAATCGAACCTGGGACCCTTCAGTCCACAGGCCGACGCTCTATCCACTGAGCCAAACCGCCTATGGCAAGATTGCTTCCCCCCACCCCCCTTAAAGGTCTAGTTAGGAGTGAGATAACTTATATCAGCCAAGACAGCCTCCCAGGAATTAGCCATGCCATCTTCCATAGCTAATTACCACAGAACAACTCCTGACTATTTTCTGCAGAGAATCTGGAGGTAAGGGTGTAGAGAAAGGCTTTATAACTCATAACCAGTTTTTTTTTTTTAAGATTCAAAGTCCATTCAATGTTTTACAGACATCTACAAAATCAAAAGAAAGAATAAATGCAGATACCTGGGGCAATAAAAAATCCAAAGCCAAGTAATGGGGGTGGGAAGGTAATAGTGTTTTTGTTTTTTTTTAATGTCTGGTAAGCTTCCCTGAGCAGTGATTCCCTTTCCCACTGTTGGCCACCAAGTGCTTTCCACATTTAAATGATGATAATCCCTTCAGGGTGGCAATGTCTTGCCAATGTATACTCAAACACTGTTTTTTCCATGCCTTTCTTGAGTATCAAAACAAAGCAAACTCAGCACATTATGCAGGCATAAGGCTGCATTTCAAACTAGAAGTCTATAGGATATTAAATTTAACCTTAAAATGGTACTTACCAAGCCCTCCAGAAGTAAGGTATGAGAGAGGACAAATGAAAAACAAGTTAACTTTTTGTTCAAATTATTTAAAAAGCAATGCTCTTGCTTTACCTTTATTCAACATGAAAGCAAGCCTTTTCTCAGGATACTCCCTCTGCAATCCTTTCTGAGTGGGGTAGTGTTTTCTTAGAATCCTTTTCTCTTCCTGTCTTAGTGCAGGCCTAGCTGTCCGTTAAAAGAAGGTTTCCTCGATTTTCCCAGGCAGAACTGATCATTCCTTCCACTGTATTTTGTACACACTTCTACTCTAGCTCATGTCACATTATGATTATTTGTTTAGGATTCTGTCTCCCCCAGTCTATGAGCTCCTTACAGGCAAGAGCCATGGCTTTGTACCCTCAAGGCCTAGCACAGGGTAAACTCTCAATACACATTTGTTTTATATTATTGAATCACATACAGAATGGCATATTCCAAACACAATAGTCCCCCTATCTGCAGTTTTGCCTTTTGTGATTTCAGTTACCTGCAGTCAATCAAGGTCCAAAAGTATTAAATAGAAAATTCCAGAAATAAGCAATTCAAAAGTTTTAAACTGTGTACTCTTCTGAGTAGCATTAGGAAATCCTGAGTCTGAATCTTCCCCTTGTCCAGAGTATCTGGGTATCCATGCTGTATTGACCACCCACCCATTAGTCAGTTAGTAATCGTTTCGGTTATTTGGACTGTTGCGGTATTACAGTGCTTGTATTCAGGTAATCCTTACTTTACTTACTACAGGCCCAAAGTCATTCACAAAACTGTTATTACAGTATATTGTCATAATTGTTCTATTTCATTAGTTATTGTTGTTATTGTTGTTAATCTCTTATTGTGCCTAATTGATAAATTAAATCTTATCATAGGTATGTATATATAGGAAAAAACATAATATGTATGTTCAGTACTATCCGAGGTATCAGGCATCCACTAGGGGTCTTCAAACATATTTCCCTTGGATAAGCAGGGACTACTGTAATGAACTCTGACCAGAAGTCTAACCAGCTCAAGGAACACGACTAGGTAAACTTTCTGTTTTCACTGTACCCCAACTTTATGAAAACAAGGAAGAAAGAAACCAGCTATAAATCCTGACTCTGTTTTCATGAGAATGTTGAACTTTGCCATAATAGTTCTAGTACGTTATTTATTGGAATGTGAGCAAACAAGATTAATAGAACAATGAGCTCTGGTGCAAGGCAGGAAATAAAAGAAATAATTTCCAGTGTGAAGTGAGATAAAATACTGGTTAAAAAAAACCAGGAACTGATAAGAAGTAAATCATTTGGTTCACACATATCCCCCACTACCTGTTCTTGTATCAATATATGCACACAAGATCACAGCTGCTTATTAGGTATTTCTGAACACTACATTTTTTTTTCAAAGTTGTTCTCTGTTTCTGAAAGTGAAAATGAACAACCAAAAGAGCAAATCCACAGAGAACCTTTGGTGCTCCTCACACCTGAACAGGGCCTGCCCACAGTAATCCGTTCTATCCTTTCTATTCCTTAAGAGTCTGGCAATTTGACGTGGCTGCTCCTTGTTTGTGCAAGGAGCTGTGGGTATTTGGAGAGAAGGGTGGAACAGTAAACACAGGATTGCATTGGAAACATTTCAGATGAAAGTAAGTCAGTATCTGTTACTGGTAAGTCTTCTTGGTTAAAACCAATTTAAGTGGGAAGAAAGCACATATCGGTTGTAGCTTTAAGAATAAAAAGGTGGTAGCCCTAACCGGTTTGGCTCAGTGGATAGAGCGTTGGCCTGCGGACTGAAGGGTCCCGGGTTTGATTTCGGTCAAGGGCATGTACCTTGGTTGCGGTTTCTCTCTCATCGATGTTTCTAACTTTCTATCCCTCTCACTTCCTCTCTGTAAAAAAATCGATAAAATATATTTTAAAAAAAGAATAAAAAGGTGGTAGCCCTAGCTGGTTTGGCTCAGTGGGTAGAGCATTGGCCTGCGGATTGAAGGGTCCGGGTTCCATTCCCGCCCAGGGCACCTGCCCATGTGGTGGCCTCGATTCCCAGTAGGGGGCGTGCAGGAGGCAGCCATTCAATGATTCTCTCATTGATGTTTCTATCGCTCTCTCCCTTCCTCTCTGAAATCAATAAAAATATATATTTTTTTAAATGTGGAGAAAAGACAGTGAGTCTCCTCAACACCTATCTACAAGTGCGCATTTCCAGGGATTCAAAGACTGTAAGGGAACGTTCCCTTGGTGCGGCATACACACTCTCCTAACTTCTCGAGGTAGGCTAACTGACTGAATCTTGTCAGTTACCAGTGGAACCTCATTTCGAATATCTAGTTATCAAGCAGGATGGGGAAGGAGGTTTAAAATACCAGCATTAGAAAATGGATGTAATCAGGAGTTGTGTTCCTTTTAATGACTAAGATACCCTGTTGTTCACCAAAGCGCTCACTCAGACAAGAGTCTAAAGAGGGAAAAGTCTCTAGGTTCCAGGAAAACACGGGCAGAGAGAGTAGATCTAATTTTCCACGATTTCCAATCCACTTGCTCTTCACCAGCCAATCTTCCCCAATCCCCAGGGTCGGGGCATTTTATTAGCAAAGGTGCCAGGTGTTTGCTAAGGTGACTGCAAGGTGAGCGGAAGCAGCGCTGCTTTGGTTGGTTGATCGGTGGCCCTCTCAATCCTCTCTTCGCCCTTCACGTCATCACACCTTCGGGGACACCTCTCACCACGGGTCCCCAGGCCTCTTTGTCCTCCTGTCCACACGCCTGTCTCAGGCTTCCTGTCTCGGACGCGCGTACTCACCTAGACAGGTCGGCTGCTCACCACCGCTACCTCCATCCTCGTCGGCATCGC